TCCAGGGAAATCTTTAAAATGTATACCCAGTTATTAGGAAGATTCAAACCCCTTCCCCTCCAAAAAACCCCACACCCAAAACACCCAAAATACAAACACAGTTCCATCTATTTTTAGAAATTAGTACTGCTTCTAATTTACACATTCAATGCATAATCACATCTAGATTTTTGGAAATAAGGTGATCCATTTAGAACAAAAATGTTAGTCTAAAGCCCACAAAGCCAGCAGCCATTAAAAAAAAGACTTGGTACCATATATAAAATATAATTATTTTTTAAATTTAAAAAAATGACAAAAATACACACATGGAGCATTCACAGTATAGTTACTATTCTTCCTATGGCAAGAGTGCCTACAAATCAACAAAATGAAGATGACTATTTCCATAAAAGTAAAAAGGTGAAAAAATGACATTAAAACTATAAAAAGAAACCTGAATTTAATAGAGATGCAAACTAGAAAAAGAAGACTTAATTTTATAAAAATTTTAAATAAGCAAATATTGGGGGCTAGGAAAGAATGTACTCATGATGACAGGCAAATTCTTTTTAAAAATATACTTTTATCAATTTCAGAGAGGAAGAGAGAGGGGGAGAGAGAAAAAGAGAGCAAGAGAGAGAGAGAAATACCAATTATGAGAGAGAATCATTCATCAGCTGCCTCCTGCACATCCCACACTGGGGATTGAGCATGCAACCCAGGCATGTGTCCTGACCAGGAATCAAATCATGATCTCTTGGTTCATAGGTTGATGCTCAACCACTGAGCCAGGCTGACCTTGGCGACAGGCAAATTCTTGCACTGCTAGGGAGAGTACAACTGTTTCTGCTTTACTTTTCTTTAAGTCATAAGCAAATAAATAACAAAGATATACTTATAAAAATGATCATCTCAGTGTCTGTTTTTGTTAAACTTGGAAACAAGATAATTCTCAATAATAAAGAACTGAAGGACACAAACATGCACAGAAACACACAGAGGAATGTGCATGAATGTCAACATGTGTGCAGATATTTACATCTGTACAGATATTTCTAGGCTAATTCTATAGTCTCAGAAATCAGAATTTCCATATTTGTCTTAGATACCAATGAGGCATTACATATTTAAATACTGTGCATTCATTTGATATTTAATTTGACTTCATGCATTTGCAATTATAGGCTTACCTATGATCATTATGAATTGTATTGCATCCCATAACTGTATTTGCCTTATGATCTGTAATAGACCTTATAAGATAATTTCTACGGTAGCCATGCTATGTTACTGTACTTTGATGTTACAAATATAAAAATTTTTTGCTTCACCAAAAACTTCCATCTATAATAATAAAAGCATAACATGCTAATTAGACTGGACAACCTCCGGTTGAAGCCAGGGCTGCGAGGGCCGAGCCCCTTTCACAGATTTCGTGCACCAAGCCTCTGGTATAAGAATAAATGGAATTGTTGTCATTTTAAAGACAGATGACATTTAAGTTAGAATAACATTACCTCCAAAACCAAAGAATGAAAGTCCTTTGCCTATTCTTAGTTTAATATTTATGGTTTGATCAAGGAATAAACAAGGCCATTGCCTCATCCATCATATGCATTATTACCCTAAATACAGATTAAAACATTTTAAAAATAAACTTTAAGCTCACAAAGCAGAATGGATAGCATAATGATATTATGATATGTGCTAGCAGATATAATCAGTGTATCGAATCTTTTCCATTTTACTGAATAAATTTTCAAGAGCCTATGATTTTTCCTGGGCTCTTTAAAAGGTAAGAAGATTTACTCCAGAGGAAAACTAATTCGAAGACTGGTAGACAATTTTTTGTTGTTACAGGAAAAATCAATTGATATTCAAATGTTAATGTACTTTCTCCAAACTACATAATTCAAAGAAACTGGCCTAAAAACAATCTGGAGTAGAGACAAAATATGCATCCCATTTGAGTACCTACCATACATAAGAATTATTAATTTGCAATGATAGCCAGCGACCCTTCCTCTTGGAATAATATGAACCCATCTGTGGTCCTAAAATTTCTTTAAATTGGATTCTTGCCATGTAAGTTTTCTTTAGATGTATTTGATTTTAATGATTCACTTTCAAGAAAACATCGACAGTCCTTCCATCTTAACAAAGCAATTTCAGCAACACATCTGAACTTACTCTCAGATACCCTGTCATCTCAAATGACAACTGACTTTTCTATTGAGGTTCATATTTGTCATGCAATTTATCTCATTCACTTCATTTATTTTCCCCAGGTAATATATTTTGGAATATCACATTTATTTCTTTAACACATTTGTTAAATAATAATTTTGGTAGTTTTCAGTTGTATCACTGAAATAAAAAGACTACACTGTGATGAATCTGGATTTTAATCAATGAGCAAGTGTTCAAACACTGCATTTAACCCCTATGCAATTAATCAAAGCAGAGAAGGCTGCAAGTGGAGTATTGAGAGGGCAATTTTCCACTAAAAAAAAATAGGAAGCAATCTGGCAATAAGCAGTTGACGCGTCATGGTGATATATTTTGAAGGTTACCATGTAAACTCATTTCAAGCCATTAACTTACCCAAGACGGTAAGCTCTGCAGAAGCACTGATATTCTCATTTTTATATGTGACAACGCAGGTGTAAGTTCCACTGTCATCATCTGTCACATTGGAGATAAGCAAGTTGCTTCCACCCAATAGTGAATACTTTTTGGACCTGTAGGACATAAGCATATGAAATTAGAGCGTTAACGAGCAAACCCATCTACCAGCAAGGTACTCAAAGGTTTACATGAACTCCACAAAAATTCAAATTATAAAACTGAAAAGAAATTCTGTATCATAGGGGCTTGATGGTGTGGCAGTTATTGGTGAGAAATTCCTTCAAGGAAAACCACTCCCATTGGAAGGCTTGGTATAGTGATTGAAGAACTGAAGTAGATTAAACTTGGCACTAATGTTAGTGCAGCGAAGAATGTATAGATAATCTGGGCCAGTTCTTTCATTTTGGATTTGAAAGCTGCAAGGTCCTGAGAAGTTGTTCCCCCCCGCGGAGGTTAATGTCCTGTGGCCTCCATCCTACTTAGCAGCCTTTGTACAAGGCCCTTTCACACTGTGCCAGCAATGCCCGCTATGCCAGGGAACACATTGTGATACTCTGCAGATGGGAAGGGTTTCCGCATGCTTTCATATTCTCAGAGCTATTGTGATACCATACCATTTACTAAAGACTAGAGGCCTGGTGCATGAATCCATGCACGGGTGGGGTCCGGCCAGCCCGCTGTGATTGGGGTGGGGTGGGGTGGGGGCAATAGAGGACGTGGCCAGCCGGGGGGAGGGCCCACAGGAGATTGGCAGACCAGCCCACCTCCCTGGTCGAACTCCTGGTTGAGAGACAATTTGCATATTAGCTTTCCTTTATATAGGATTTAAAGTAAATGACATTTACAGATTAACTTATTGTCCCTGCATCTATCAAACCATAGAAAATAAATGTGTTGAAAAGGAGCACGCCAAACCTCAAAATCAATGAAATTAATTTCTTAAGTGAAACCATTCAATCAAAATGTTTCAGGCTAAGTGTTCCATTCTATTTAAGAGTTTATTTTCTAACTATGCCTTAATATTAATGTCCAATGATTCAAACCTGTCCAACTCCTTTTCCTGCCTTATCTGAAATATTTGCTGTAGAGAAGATAGTGAGAGAGATCATTGGAGCTAACAAAAGTTACAGAAATCTACTATATTTGGATGTAATATTTTTAATTCAAGAAATGTTGGTTTCTTAAGAAATATTTCACTCTCTATATGCTTCCTTAGGATGAGACCTTCCGAGTATCTTTGCTGAAGACTCTTGGGGGAGAATTATCTCAATGACAACCTGGCTTTAAAAAATTCGTTTTAGAATTGATCTCATGAATTTTGACTATTCCTTGCCCTTTATCTAAGTGGGTAAATGTCTTTCAGATACTGTATGTCAAGGAATGTGAAAAAATATTCAATTATTATCAAAGACCCTGCCCTAACTGGTTTGGCTCAGTGGATAGAGCATCAGCCTGCGGACTGAGGGGTCCCAGGTTCGATTCCAGTCAAGGGCGTGTACCTTGGTTGCAGGCAAATCCCCAAGAGAAGGTGTGCAGGAGGCAGCTGATGGATGTTTCTCTCTCATCAATGTTTCTAACTCTCTATCCCTCTCCCTTCCTCTCTATAAAAAATCAATAAAATGTATTTTTTTAAAAAAAGACCCTAATATTTGTAGGTATCGATATCAAGCTAGAGCAAGATAAACAATAGCATATAGTTCACAGAAGCCCTAAAGTTACAATACCGGAGCTGGACGACTTCCTCTCCTCGTAACCAGGTGAAGCTTGGGGGAGGGTAGCCAGACACACAGCACTCCAGTACAGCGTCCTTTCCTTCGATGGCTACCACATTGGAGGGTCTTTGCAGGAAATAAAGCTGCCTATGCAATCCTGGGTCTGTTGGGGAAAACACAGCGTCACATTTAAAAAACAAACAAACATATTGTTATTTATTTCAGAGAGAAAGGGAGAGTGAGTGAAAGAGAGAGAAACATCAATGATGAGAGAGTCATTGATTGGCTGCCTCCTGCACACCCCACACTGGGGATCAAGCCCTCAACCAGGGCATGTGTCCTGGAATTGAACCATGACCTCCTGGTTCATAGGTTGACGCTTGCCGGCTGGGCCACAGGATCATATATTTATGAAAAACATTGCAAAGGTAAATAATGTAGCTCAATCATTTTTGTTCCTAGCAAGGCACCGTGATGGAAATGAAGGACCGAACAATGGACAGATGCCAATAAAACTTATGAAATGAATTCCTAAAAGGGTTTTTCCATCCTTAGTTTCTAGAATTATGATTTTAAAATACTCTTAGCTGTTGATGACCTCATGGTATAAGGCAAAGGGAAAATCGTGAGACTACAAGGCACTCCTCTGGGCCACAGGCCTTGTTGTTTTGTCATTATTAGAGAAAAAGACAATATTATCAGTGACTGTTCTAAATGTTATGGCTCCAAACTTTCCATTGATGCAGTTTGCCTGCCTCTAATATCTCTTCCACTTCCTTCTGCTTTGTTTATTGCTTCTGTGGATTGGGAAACAGGATAAGCAAACATGTTAGAATTATGTTAAATAACACACAGGTGCAGAGATTTAGAATATAGAAGGTATGAGAAAATATCTGCTGTCTTCTCAAAGGAAGTTACACGAAAGTTTGTTTTTCATAATAATGCTAGAGGCCTGGTGCACGAAATCATGCACAGGTAGGGTCCCTCCCTCATCCTGGCCAGTGATCAGGGCCAATTCCGGGGGCGGGGGGGGGAGTGACCAGGGGGAGGGACTGCCGAAGGTTGGCCAGCCACAGGAGGTTGGCTGTGGGAGCGCACTGACTACCGGGGGCAGCTCCTGTGCTGAGCATCTGCCCCTGATGGTCAGTGCACATCATAGCTACCAGTTGACCAGTCATTCAGTCGCTTAGGGTTTTATATATATAGATGTTTGGCTCTGTCTAAGCCTTGTGTTTATTTTTAATTTTTAACAACTTTACAGAGACTGAGACTCTAAATAAATAAAGTGCCCCTGCACCCTTCCACTTCACCCAATGCACCTTCTACTACATACGCTCTTTATAAATCTTGGGTATTTACTCCTTAGCAGATGTATCATTGGCGGATATGGTCTCCCATTCAGTGGGTTGTCTTTTTATTCAGTTGATGGTTTCCTTAGCTGTGCAAAACCTTTTTAGTTTGATGAAATCCCGTTTGTTTATTTTTTTCTTTTGTTTTCCTTGTCCAAGGAGGAATATCAGAAAAAATATTGCTATTAGAAATGTCTGAGATTTGACTGCCTATGTTTCCTTTTAAGATTTTTATGGTTTCACATCTAACATTTAAGCCTTTTATACATTTTGTGTTTATTCTTGTGTGTGGTGTCAGAAGAAAATGTTACCTTTGGGCAGAGAAATTGGGTTTCACTTCTCCAAAGATATTTCTCTAATCTAATAAACTATGAAAGTTTTAAGAAAAAAAGCTAATAGAAATGTTTTCAATAGGAAAAAGTTCATATGATTCAAAACACAGCCATAGATTAACTAGAATCACAAATTGTTCGAGTCCTCCATTCCAGAATCAAAGGTCTGTCCCGTGATTTAGATCTGGCCTGGCCCTGAATCTTGCTTTGACCAATAGATAGTGGTGGGAATTACACTCTGAATTCTGGAGCCAAGGCCTCAAGAGGCCTGAAAGTCTCTTTCTTTCTTTCTTTCTTTCTTTCTTTCTTTCTTTCTTTCTTTCTTTCTTTCTTTCTTTCTGTCTAACTCATTAAATGGAATATTTGGCCCACTTCAGCTTAGTCTATTATCTGAATTAGAGAAAACTGATCTGCAATGAGTAGGAAAATGAATGATGATGTGAAAGTAGATCTCAAACTGTTTGATCTCAGTAACCATGTGTACTCTTAAAATTGATTGAGGACTCCAAACTTTTTTGCTTATGCAGGTTATACCTACACATATTTGCCATATTCAAAATGAAAAAAAATAAGATATTTTTAAAATATGTATTTATTAAATATGTATTTACCCATTGCCAAAAATAAGATTAAAAAACAACAACACCACCCTTGTTCTGGCCAGGGGGCTCAGTTGGTTGGAGCATCGTCCTATATACCAAAAAGGTTGCAGGCTTGATTCCTGGTGGGGAGCAGAAACCTGTAGATAACAGATCAATGTTTCTCTCTCACATTGGCATTTCTCTTTCTCTCTCTCCCGTCCTCTCACTCTAAAATCAATAATAATTTTTTAAAAACCCTCTATTTTCCAAAACAAAAAATATTAGTGAGAAGAGTGGTAGTACTTTACACAGGGTGGCACAAAAGTAGGTTCCTAGCTGGGTGTACACAAAACACAGCGTTTATCTTACAATATCTATTAATTATTGTATTATTTTCCACATGAACAACTATAAACCTACTTTTGCCCTACCCTGCACTTTTGAAAATATTTAAATGAGTGGTTTAATAGGAAATATTAGTAACTAGATTTTTGCGTTCCTTCCTGCACTTTGACCTGATATGTTGATTTGGTTGAATTACACGAAAATAACCGACTTCAAACAGATATGCAGTTGGAAAAGAGAAGTGCATTTTAATAGTGTTTTCAGATAATGGTAAATTTTATCCTTTAACACTAAACCAAAACTCAATACCTAATTTCTTGAAAGTCTGTTTTTATGTGGAATCTGGCACCATATTGATAACCATTCTAAGCTATACTATATAAAAAACCATTGGTCTCTCTTGCACTTTGAAAACATCTTTTACCCATGCATGATTTTGGCACATCAATCAATAGTAATTTGGAATGATACACTGAGTTAGACAGATCTTCCAAATGTTGAAACATTGCATCATACACTACCACAAAACCTCATCTGCTACCATCACCACCAATCCCATCAAAAGCCCTCAAAATGTTGTGAAGGTGTCAAGTTCCTAGGAGAGGACACAAGTTTTCCAAATTTCTAATTTAGCCTAAAAACTTGAATTCATCCTTGGCACCTAATACTCTTTTCCTTAAAGTGACTGGCCTACTTCATTCATTTTTGAGAAAATGTCTAACTAATACCCTAGTCTGCATAGCTCCAGTTTTTCTGCTCATTGTCCTCTCAAGTAAAAGTGGTGTCCGTGGGGGAATAAGGCAGCTAATTCAGCTTGAAACTCAAATGTCCACAAAAGTGTTTATCCCCCCAAAACCATTGTATCTTCATATCCTTCACGTTTTGATATGCAGATTATTAAAAAGATGTGTTTTTAAGGATGGAGATATTAATATAATTAATAAATTTTACTGCTTCATCAAAGACATTCTTAAGTCAACATAGAGAAAAAACACACACAAAATATTATCTTGAAAATAAGTTTCACCTCAGAGATCTGAAATCCTCTCAAGAAATGCCATAGACCCACACACTGAGAATTGATGTAGACACGTCTCAACAAATTAGCTCTTCTTCGAAGACACTCACGAAACCCATTTCCTTTCAATGTGGGGCTAGTTTTACATGTTTCAAGTAGAAATTGATAAACTAAACTTACTTCATCCTCCTCCCCTTCTTCCTCTTCCTCCTCCTCATCAAAATCAACAACAACATCATTATTTTTCATTTAGGCCATACAAAACTTAAGTATTTCCAAGCCCTGTCTTTGAGCAATAGATTATTGAAAGGTAAGAAACATCTTAGGTCAGATCACCTGGCACATTTACCCACTTCACATACTCAGAAATAAAAGTTCACTGTCTTCAGAGCCCATGTCCTAAAGAGCCCCAGGAAGGCACACCATGAAGGCCGAGAGAGCATGTTCTGTTTACAGGCATTTTTATCCCTGAATACTAGTTTCCATTGGACATTACGCTGGCCAAGTTCATTGAGTCTGTGAGGTTATACTGGTTCCTTGCTTTCACAGGGTTTCCCAATGCCTTGGGACCACACGTTTTTGTCTTCCCTCAAAGGAAGAGAATAGGATGACTGTATAAATGATCCAAGTGTTAGAGTGAAAGGTAACTATAATATTTGGAGACAGTAGGTGTGGAATGCAGGCACACCCTGCGATGGCAGTGACCGTCTCTTAATGGGGCCGTGTCCCTAAGTCAGCATTACTAAACTTACATGGCTGGGTCTAAAGAATAACTGAGGCAGAGAGAAATTTAATTATGGACTGTTGGCATCTGTGTCAGCAAGAACATAATACTGGTTTGCACAGCTTAATAACTGTCTTCCTTAAAATAACCAGTACTTGCTTTTGATTCATATGCTTTCCTAACGCAAACCCTTTTCATTTTCTGATTGGAAATGAAAGGATACTGCCCACTCCAATGGGGTATTCTCTTCGATTTCTTCCCAGGCATAAGAGTTACAAATTAATTTAACTTCGCAGACCGAGTTTCCTGGATTTCAAGCTAACTTACTGCTTGCTCACCTTCTGGCTGCTTAGCAGCCACATCGAGTTTTCTTTTAGGAAATTCAGCAGGTGCTATGTGTCTTCACACACAAGTGGGTGCTATGCAGCATACCTTACCTGAGGTGTTGGATTTTTTACAAACTGAAGGCAAGACCCTCCAACAGCAAAAAGATTATGACTCGTTTTGTTGTGATCCTTCCTGCATTGCAGTGTTCTGGGACTGTGCTGTGTGCTCCGAGTGAAGCATTCCATGAAACGCCTCCTAATTCTGTTTAGAGTGTCTTTCATTAAGACCTGCCTAATCACTGGAATCAAAATTCATTTAACACCAAACAGAAACCTCCATGTGGCCAAAAGCCAAGGAGTCTGAACAGAGCGAGAAAAGGGAGCTATTTCCCAGGAGCTATTATTCATCATCTATGATTCTGTTACTTTCCTTCCTCATTTACACCAATTCAGAACTAAATATGACATTCCTTGTCTGTACATACTCC